TAGCTTCAACTTTCCTGTCTGTGAAAATAGGGATAATAATATCTGATTCACAAAAGTGCTGCAAAAATACCTCTATTATTTTTTATAAACATCATCTCTGATGTAAGTATTATTAACACTAACTTTGCTCCCCAGACCTTTTCCATTTTGGAGTGTTTTTATCCTCAGTTCTTCAGGGCAAAATCTTTCCTTTCTCATGTGTGACAGCAAAATGTGCATGCTTGAAAACCACTGCTTCACCTTTTGTCCTAAGCAGGCAAGGCCGTGTCTGACAGCGGCTTTAAGCAGTCTTGGTGGAGCCAGTGTCAAGTGGTAATCCTCCTACATCAATCAAATGCAACAAGGGCACAACTCACATTTATGAACCATTTTACTTGCAGAGAGACCCCAGAACTATGAACACATCATTCCATACAAGAAAAGCTACCAAATCTCTCTCACTTGTGTGTGAAACATGTATTGGACATGAGACATAAGACACTGGACAGGGCAACAATGGCAATAACGTGTGTAAGTCTGTAGGGCTAAAAGCCAAATGCTGAGGTTGGGCAACAAAAATGTTTTTAACAGACACTCACCAGCTTGGGCTTCTTCTTCACCAGGGATTTTGTGAAGACAGGGATTTTTCTGAAGACTTAGCATGGAAATGATCTAAATGAATCAACAAACACGCAAATGCTTGGCATGGTCTCTCTTGGTCAGAGTGTTTCCTTCACATTAGTCAGAACGAATGTTAAGCTTCTCTCTGGATTCCTGTTGAAGTCAATCAGCAACTTCTGGGAGCAGCCCAGAGAAATAACCCCCAGGTCATTGAGGAAGACTGCAGTAAATCAGAGCCCAGCCTCATCTCTCATGGGAACATCCCTCTGGCTTCTTCTTGAGTCCTTTATTTCAGTATATGAGGGAACTCCACTATGGGAGACTCCCCACAAGACCAAACTAGTGACTCTGTGGTGGGCCTTTACCTTGAGCCATTCCATCACTTTACTTCATCTGCATTGCTTTGGGGGTGGATGAAGTTGCCACTTGGGAAACTGCAGGGAAGTGGGAGCAAGGACTTTCAGCCTTCACCGTTCCCTGCGCAAGCAGCAGGCAAAGCAGTCAACAGGGCCAAGCAAAGAAAATAACCGCCGCGTTGGGACGAATCAAACATGCTGTGTGTACTTAAGAGCTCCTAGATTTTGCCTGGACAGCTCTTCCTGGAGGTTTTTACCTGCGTCTCAAGTGACAGATTGCTACTGTGAATACTGTCTTACTCGATGCCTATTTCACACACACACACCCCCACATACATATACATATATATATTTTAATATACAGAGGCTTTGCATCTTACTTGCAGGAGGAACCCGCCTCGACCCCGGACTTTGGAGCAGGACGGCTCCCTGCCTCGCCAGGCAAAATCCCGGGGCGCGGGGCGGGCTGGTGGCGTCCCGCTGCCTGCAGGCGGGAGC